CAATACGACGGTATGAACACGATACCAAGGCAAACCCATGGAAATACCTCTTTAGCAACGAAAAGTAGACACTATGTAACTGTTTAAGCCTAGGATGTTCTAGGCGGTTTTGTGAAGAACGAGAGAAGCGTCTGTTCCAGATGGTGGGGGACTCCAAGCTCCTGCAAAACAAGGGTCCTTGGGCGGTCGCCCAGGACACTCTCCGATGTTCAAGTTAGAGAGGGAATAAGAGTTTTTGTTTGTATTTAGAGAGAGAGAGAGTAGTTGAGTTACCATCAATGCAGATATGAATGTATTTATAGTGGGTTGTCTTGGTCTCGAGCATTAAATGCCCTTGTCAGGCGTCCTAGGTCAGCCATGCTTTGTCTAGACCGCCTACGACGGGCATTTAATGCTCTGTCCTGCTGTGTTCGAGGAGTATCCTAGGAAGATCTCGGCCTCTGCCCGAGCAACGGCTCCTTGTGTCAGGCGGCCTATCGCCTGTCCCGTCCTAGGGTGGCCGCCCTCCTTTCCCAGCTCCCCATGCCTGCTTCCTGGACCCTCCGACAGGCCTTCCTTCTTGGGCCTCCTGTGGGCCTCCGAGTCCAATACCGCTCAGCTATGGCCCAACAATTGCCCTTTAGTCGTGAAAAGCTGCGGATTTTGGCGGCTACTGATTTTGCTATCTGACACCTGAGCGGTCCTTGTATCGACTGCTGTCTACCCTTTTTCCCCTGGCCGCCATGGGGACACGGCTTTTCCAGTTATCCCATTTAGTCCATCTCCACTGTATCCGGACGTTCCACGGCTGTGCTGCTTACCCCTATTTGATCTTCGCGTTCTTCTTTGCGAAGATCACTGCGACGATTTATGTTGGCCCCTTCCCTAATGCCCGTACGCGATTCCGCTGTTCATTTTTATTGAAGGACTTCCGAAGCTAAGCGAATCCGCTGTCCACCCCTCTTTAAGCGGTTCCTGCTGGTCTGAGCGATTCCGCTTTCCACCTCTTTCGTAGTGGTCGGATCGTTCTCACGGTTAGGCGGTTCCGTTATTCGCTTCCTTTGCGACGCTCTGAGGTTAGCGACTCCGGTGTCTACCCTCTTTGGGAAGTTAAGCGGTTATTTTGTCCACCCCCTTGATGTGAAATTTGGTGGTCCTTTGTGCACTGCTGAAGCCTGAGTGAATCCGATGTCCACCTCCTTCTTAGTGGTTGGGTCGTTGCAAAGTTTGAGCGGTTCCGCTATCCGTCTCTCGTGCTGCACCCTTTCGGAGCTTGAGCGATTCCGCTGTCCACCCCTTTTGGATTGGCTTGCTGGTAGTTGACTGCCCTATCCGCTTTCCTGCCCCCGTTTCTATGCGTCTCATTGAACCGCCTCTGTCGATTCACCTTCTGCACCTACCAGTGCCGCGCATGCGCGTTGCCACGTGTTGGTCCTCGGTCTTCGTGCTCTGACAACGGGCAGCCTCGCGTCCAATCAGCTGCCCGACTTTTGAATTTTTTAGGGTAGGGCTTGCCTAGGTCACTCAACCGTCGCCTGTCCATCCCCTGCATTCGCCTATTTATACCCGATTTCCATCCTTTCCACCATTCTTCCACTCTTTTCCCCTCTCTGCTTTGCTTTCCTCCGACTCTTCCGCCACAATTGCTCGGTGTTCTCGCTTTTCCCTTTCCTTTTATCTGCGAGATAACGTATCCTTGTCTTCGACAAGAGCGGACTTTCTTGCTAAGCTTCGGCGACGTCAGAAACGAGCGAAAAGGAAACTCCGACGACAAATGGCGAAGGAATCTCAGAGCGCTACCCCCTCCGATAGCCAGAACCAACATCTCTCCGACGACATCGCCGCCGTCACGACCTCCAGTGATGTGGCCGTCACCGCTTCCGGCGACGCTCGGACTGCCAGCGCCGGCGTTAGCGTACCTCGGTCCTCTGCCAAGTATGGTGGCAACTCTGGCGGAGCGCCATCCGGGAGCCGCCAAGCAAACCCAGGTACTTTTCTTATTTGTTGCTCGGCTGATTAGTATTAGGGTTTAGAATTGGTTGCAACGCGCGCGATATGCTTTGCACGGTTCATTTAGTGATACTTAGACGGTCTTCATTATGACCTTTTAGGGGTAGAACTGGACCTGGCTTTTGACGCGGGCACGTCCGACGGGCGGCGTGGGGCGTCTTCCTGGGTTGGGGACAACCTCGGGGACTTTAAGTTGCTTGCTAGTACTTGGGGGAACAGAGTCATTGATAAAAGTTTCATCGATTTATGACCTAAGGTGCTGGCAAGGTTGACTTCGACAAATGCTATGCAACTCGTCAGTTGTATCCGCGGGTTGCCAAGGTTGGAAGACATACAATTTACTATATACTCCAGGTCACAAACTTTCAACAGCCTGTTCAACAGATCTTGCTTTTCTACTTTTCCTCTCTGCAGATAGCGAGGATCCTCAACCGTCATGGCTTGATGCCTGTTGGAAATGTGTATGAATAGCTTTGAAAGCTATAGAGTCTCAAGTGGAAAAACTACCACATTGGTAGTTTTACTTGGTGAAATGAGTATAAAGATAGGAGCCTCTCTCCTAAGGGCATGCCCCTTGGGGTGACCCACTTTTGTGGGAGAGGGAGGACCTAACGAACCACCACACACACGCGCGCGCGCGCCGTCCGTCCATCCGACCGGTCGGTTGGATGGATGGATCACTTGAGACTATATACATATTTTTTGGAGAAATTCCGAACGAAATTAATTATTTAATAATTAATTATTAATCGGTTACTCTGAGGAATATTCCAAGGGATAATCGATTGAAAAGGAATATTCGAAGGATAATCTCCGCAGGATTTATCCTAACCAACGGTTTTAATTAAGGAAGTAATTATCTTCCTTAATTAATCCGACTTATTCCCCAAGCAAGATGGTATATTCCTAGGGGTTCGGCTCCTATAAATAGCCGCCTCCCCAGCCCCTCTAAACACACAACAACGAGCATAAACACAATAGAGAGAGTGTTCAGAGAGCTCCGGTTTTCGCACAAAACCGCGAGTACACAGAGGAGCTGTTTTATCCTGGAGACGACCGGTTGATAGTCTGCCGCGCGCATCGAGGGCAGTGCCGCGAACGTCTTAAAGAAAGCGACCTAGTCCGCGACTCAGCTCCAGATTCGGTATCCTCATCTTGTTGTTGTTCCGTTTCTAACAATGCCTGATGCAAAGGTGAGTTTTCTCCCCTGGGATTGATGTTTGAGTAATTTGTGCACCAACTAATTCAAGTTTTTCTCACTCCTGTGCTTGTTTTTCATTTTAGCAAGGGACTGTTGTCAGTGATGTTACTAGAGCGGTTAAAGCAGCAAAACAGAATCAGATAAAGTTTAGAATGGACAAGTCATCCATTGTTCATGTAGGACTTGGAAAGGTATGTTGTTGTCAGTAATTATGCTGCATGCATGTGGTCTCCAAACCCCCATGCTGGTCAGTAAGCTCCTTTGTTCTCATTTGCAGGCGAGTTTCAGTGAAGAGTCTTTACGTGAGAATATTGGAGCTTTTATGAATGCCCTTCTACAATCAAAGCCTGCTGGCTTGAAGAAAAGTGAGTGTTCTCTGGTTTCTCTGTTGCCAGTTTATGAAACTGTATGACCTAATTTTATGCATTAATTTTTTTTATTATCGTTGTTAGACATCTAAATCTCTATGATTTGAAGATCATTAGGTATAGTTTGCTTTGTGTTCAAAATGCATATGAACAGTTTTTTTTTTTTTGGCTGGTTTCTTCTACCACATCTCTGAAGTAGTGTATGGTGTGTTACAAATTAGTTAGCATGAGTTAAAAAGTTGTGTTATCTACCTAACTATGTTGTGGCGAGGAGAAAGCTGCCTAGAATGTTTGAGAATACGAGCTGGATGTATATATCCATTAGGGTACCTCCTGTTGGTTTAGCATGGTCTCTCAATGGCATCGAATATGATGCCTACTGCTGTTGCTGACCTTGAAAACTTCCAAGCTTTGATCATTTTCGTATCCTGCTCTTGCAGCTTCTAAATATGCTGGATATGTGAACTCCTTCCATATATGTAGCACGGTAAGCTTTACAGAAACCTTTTCATTTTTTATTGCCTGCTAAAAGCTTCTAATTAATTGCTCACCTCTATGGCATGTTTGCTAAGGAAAACTCAAAATCTATATTTTCTTTTACCCTATTTCTATATGATGGCAACCTCTTCCTTTGTTACTTTATTCTCAATTAGTCAATGGTTGAAAACCACTGAAATAGATATGGAAGGGAGATAGGAGCAGCAAAACCCTTGGAGTTGATGACTGTTGAAACCTCAAACGCCATAAATTATAGTCAAGTTTCCAACTAAACCTTTTTCTAGCCTACTACCAAATTTTTGTTGGTAGCTTTAGTAATGTTACATAATGTGGAACTGGTTCCAGAACGTTTGAATTCCCGAAGCGATAATTCTATTTCATCTCATTATTGCAGATGGGGGAAGGATTTCCCATTTCAATACAGTCTTTGTCCAAAGCTGTAGACCATTACAACAAAGCTCATCCCAAGTCATGATGGTACTTGCACCGTTCCAGCCGCAGATGTCTCTTTATCTGAAAGTTCACCAAGATAGAAATTCTAACGCTCCGCCTCTATCTTTCATGGTTTAATCTCTCAGGGATACAAATTCGGACGGAAAATGATTACACCACTTGCTCAAACAAGCTACCCCTTCACTTCTAGCATGGGAAACTCCTTGCATTATTTTTGCTTCTCTCCCACCTGGGAATGTTCAACATCTCCGCTGCAAAAAAAATGTAGTTATCCACCTGGAGAAACTGTCTTCCCCAGTTGGAAACTAGGAGATCGATGTGGCTACTGGAGATGCTGCTATTTGCGGATTATCTATTGTGATACGAAGCGGTTTTAGCAGGAAGTAGAGATTCGTTTGTTTCAAGTGTGTTTAGGAATTTAGGTTTTTTTGATAACATGGAAGAGTCGCAATGTAGTCGTCGGCTGGTGTAGCTCGAGTTGAGTAATGAAGGTGTGAAGCAATAAGAAATAAGACTCTTCAAATGACATTTTCTCAATGCATCCTTCTGTGCGCTTCAGTAGCAAAATTAAAAATGGAGTTGTACTCTGTCTCGGTAGACAATTTGTTTGATTTCTTCGTCCTCCAACACATGATCTAACTTGGTTTCGCGGAACCCTAGCTCAGCGCCCCCTGGTTTTCTTCTATATTTTCATGGGTAATTAGCATAAATGGTCACAAACCTTTGCACTTCGTACAAAACAGTCACAAACCTTTAATTTGTAATCATTTGATAACAAAACTTTTTTACTTAGAACAAAACGGTCACAAATTAAACAGTGTGACCATTTCATACCAGTTCAAACTTTTGTTACCTTGTCATTGCAAATTAGACTTTTGGTGACCGTTTTGTACAAATTAAGTTCAAAAGTTTGAACGCTCAATCACCATTACAATTCACTCTAGTTGTATGGTGGTTTTGTTAATGTATGTGAATGATATTATGTTGTTTAGGATGACAATGAGAGAACTCAATGGCTCACAAACGGGTTCCAGACTGCTTTTTAGTTGAAAAAACTATGTCTACTTTCTTACTTTCTTGGTATCGAAATTGAAAGGTTAATTGAGGGCATTCTTATTCGGCAAAGCAAATATGTCGATAAACACATGACCTGACATCTTATATGTCGTTCAAGTGGTTAGTGTCATATACTTAACGAACAAACTACCCGACCTCAAAACATGACCAACATTTAATTTGTAACGATTCGGTAACAAACTTTTTCACTTAAAACAAAACGGTCATAAATTAAATAGCGATGACCATTGTATACAATTTCAAAGTTTTGTTACCGTATTGTTACAAATTAAAGATTTGTGACCATTTTGTACTAAGTGAAAAGGTTTGTTACCATTTATGCTAATTACCCATATTTTCATGAATGACAGTTGATTTCTCGGAACCCTAAACCCGAAACCGAAAACCATAATCGAAACCCGAAACAAAACCAAAAATAAAAAAACTGATAATGCATCTCAGCCTCCGCCGTTGCCTTTTACGGTATTGGATAATTTCTGCCATTCCTGAAAATATAGTAAACCAATTGAATCATCTCAGCCATCCCTGCTCTGGATTGGCACTGAGCTAGGATGCCCTAGTTACGATAGTACAGATTTCTTCTTCTTCTTCTCTCTTGGGTGACAATTAGTCTAGGTATACTATAACTAATCACGGTATACAATTAGTGACGAACCTTTATATACTGTAATTTCCCGTGCCTAAATTTATTAACCACGGAAAATATTCTTTTAAACACGGGATATCTTGTGATTAAATGACCTTTTTTCTTCTGTAGTGAGTGCTTTTCGCCGTTAGTTCAATTCATCCATTAACTCTAGAGAGATCCAGACAGAGAGAGAGGGAGAGATAGCCATTTCCAGGCGTGCGTTTCGAAATCCCAAAGAAACACGTGCATGCATGTGGACATGCAGCAGCGAAAAGACGTGCATTAGATCCACAGTAATGGCAAACGACAACAACTATTACGAGAGAGATGACAAGACCAAACCTTTGGAATTTTCATTGACTAGATGATAAAAATAAAAAACAAAGAGCTTAAAACACTAAACTTAGATCCATGCTAATTGCAATTCTTAGTTGCAAATAACATAATCACGCCTTTAAGGCCTTCCAACCAACCAACTAACAAACCCATCAAACTACCCAACCCATAACAAACCAACCCTAAAGGACTTCAAAACCAAATCCAAACCATCCACAAACCACTTTTACTTCCTAGCCACGACCACAGCATGCAAAGGGTGCTTCATCTCGCACGACAGCTTCAGCACCTCATCCAGACAAACCGGCCTGCCCGAATCCTCCTTCCACTCGAACCGGTTCACCAGCCTCGCCACCCAAAGCGCCACCGTGTTCATCCCCAGATTCTTCCCCGGGCAGACCCTCCGGCCAGCCCCAAACGGAGCCAGCCTGAGATCCCCACCGCGCACATCCACGTCACCGCCTTTCTCCAAGAACCTCTCGGGCCGAAACTCCAACGGGTCCGACCAGACCTCCGGGTCGTGGGTGATGGCCCACATGTTCACCATCGCGGTGGTTCCGGCTGGGACCACCATCCCGTTGCTGAGCTGGACGTCCGACGTGGACAGCCTGGCCCACGACAGCAGCGGGCCCGGCGGGTGGACCCGCAGCGTCTCTTTCACCACGGCCTGAAGGTATGGCGATTTCGCCACGTCAGCATCCGACAAGTCAGCAGCTATGGAGTCCAGCTCGGCACGTAGCTTCTGCTGGATTTCCGGGTGGAGGACCAGCTCGGCCATCACCCACTCGGTTAGCAGCGCGGTTGTATCGGTTCCCCTGAATATCATCTCCTGAAAAGAAAAAAAAAGAGACCCGAGTCAGATTCGGTATTCGAAACGTTTCGAAACGGGAAGTTAAAGGACATATTAAACCGGGAATTAGGTGCATTATTGTGTTACTTAAGAAAAAAAAAACGTATGACAGGCAAAATTTATATTTATAAAAAAACAATTTTATTATAATTAGAATAATTAACATATACCCATAAGACGGCGATCATGTCATCCTCCTCCAGCTTCTCCTCTCCTTCCAACGACAACAAAACGTCGACGAAATCGCTCCCATCACCGCCGTCCACGTGTCCACCGAGTCGGACTCGGTGCTCTTCTATAATACCTCGGACGAGTTCCCTGACACGTGGCACAAGCTGGGCGCACCGCTCGTTGATCCGGCACGGGTCGTAGAACCAGCTCAGCCAGGGCAGGTAATCGGACCAGTTGAACGCGCCCAACAGGTCGAACCCTTCGCGAACCATCTCCTCCAGCCGGTCCAGCTCCAACTTATCCTCCACGGCGTCGTACCGCTTCCCGAAGACGCTCCCCATTATGTTGTTGAGCGACGCCAGCTGGAGGTGGGGACGCAGCTCCACGCGTCCCCGCGCCGTCTGCTCGACGGCGACGCCGTCTAGCATGGCGGCACACTCGGCCCGCCTCATCGGCTCGTGCGCCGCGATGCGGCGCGGGGAGAAGAGGTGGGCGGACGCGATTTTCCGGAGGAGGCGCCAGTACGGGCCGTTGGGTGCGAACCCGATGGCGCGCTCGAACATGAGGCTGCGGGCCGACCGCTTGACGGGGCGGTCCGCGAAGCCGACCGAGGTGAGGATCTCGCGGGCCGTGGCCGGGTCGGAGGAGACGACGAGCCGGGTGGAGCCGCCGAGGCTGAGGGCCATGAGCTGTTTGTTGTTGGGCCCGGCCCAAGCCATGGAGGCCAGGGTGCGGTGGGCCAGGCCGCGGCTGAGGGCGAAGAGGCTGCCGAATATTGGGAGTCCTCGCGGGCCTGGGATTTGGGCCGGGACGCGGGAGGTGCGGCCGTGGCGCCATGCGGAGCCTCCGGGGGTGAGGAGCCAGGTGACGGCGGCGAGGGAGAGGAAGGCGGCGAGGAGGGAGAAGAGGAGGTAGGTGGTTTCGCCGCCGGCGAGGATGGTTTGGGAGCCGAGGAATGCGGGGAGGGTGAAGAAGTACCAGTTGGTGTCCTTGGAGCTCATGAGGAAGTTATGGTGATCGGTTGTTTCCATTTTTTTTTTTTTGTGGTGAAAGAAAGCTTTTTTTGCTTCTGTTTTTTTGGAGGGGAAATGGGAATGTGGGAGAAGAAGGGAGGAAAAGAGAGGTATATATAGTGGAAGGGGAGAGGTAGAGAAATGGTAGGTTGGGTTTTTAACATTGAATAAACTTTTGGGGTTCCAATGAAAACGGAAGAAGAGGAAGAAAGGAAAATCAACGTTTTTTGGGGGAGAGAAATCGGTTTGAATTGCTTAGGGGGGTGATGTGGTTACATTAATGGTATTATGATTTTCCCTATGTTATTAGTTGGGTGATCTATGTAAGATTTTATGTTTTTCTAATAGTCAATTTTACTAGAATGAATGTTAGTTTTTGAATTAGGAGGGTTGAAGAACATGGAAGTATGTCAAAATGGTAGACATGACTACGATTCAATTATCGAATTTGGATTCGTGTCTCGTTATGTTGTGGGCGTAGAAGTACGAGTCTATAGAACATATCCCGTTCAATTAAGGTTGTATTTGAGAGGGCTGAAGTAAACTTGGGTTAGAGAAAGAATGAGGGGGATGAGATGAACTTCTTATATGTCGAAGAATATAATGAATATGTTTTTTTTACAATCTAATAAGATTGGAAGTTTTATCGTTTTGGAAGTGAAGATTATCTTAATGAGATCTATTTGTAAAATATTGTTGCTTTAGTATTGTGATGACCCAGACAACATATTTTCGAGACTAGAGACAAGAATTATAGGAAAAAAGTATCGATCGGATTTAATCTTATGTTGAATAACCCTCCAAAAATTACTTACATATTCAAATGGTTTAAGTGTTACATGAGATATCTTGCTAATATTTTCTTATACCTTGGGTTATAGCATAACAAGAAAGATGCTTAAACATCACATAATTGTCAATAATTAGGTAATCAATACGTCGTAGTTACGTAGCAAGGTTAATGAATTCGTTCCAATTCGAATACTAAACTGTCTTATCGGAACCTCTCTAATAATTTGATGTATAGGGACATTAATCAATATTTTAATTAATTAATTAATTAATTAATTATCCCAGTACTAATATTTAACAGTATATTAGTTTACACTTAATACCTAGCTACATGTGTTCGTTATCAAGTGAGATATGCATGCAGGGTGGATTGGAAACTGGAAAGTCTAGTTATATATTTCTCTTACATTATATGGAAAATGATAGGGCAAATTTTTTTTTTTTTTTATAAAATCACGTATCACCAATCATATATATAACCCAAATACAAATATATTAGGGGTGATATTATTCAATTTATAAGTTTTGTAACTCTAAATTTTGAGAACATGTTATATATGAATATGATTAGTCAATAGCCAGGTTCTTATAATAGTCCTATTATTGGGATTAAGATAGCGCTCCAATAATTTGTCGGTTATGGATAATACGTTTTAGAAGTCTTTTTTTTTTTTGTTTGTCTCAAAATAATGATTATGTAAACGAGTTCTAATTCTCAACGGATATATGATGAGTTAAGGTGTAGTTATCTTTGGCGGTTGTGTCTCCTTTGTGTAGGTTTATACAATTTTAGACTACTCTAATATTTTGTAGTCTATATATTAAGTGAATTATGTTTCAATTATGTTGATGGTTTTTCCAAAAAAAGCATTAGAATGTGATTGTCTACTTTTATTATGTTCCATAACATGCACTAATTTCATTCGACCGCGGTTCAGTTAGACGTATCATGCACGAATATTCGTACTTTTCGAATGGGCGTGGTGACATTCTGATCTCTACAGTTTATTCGTACATTCTGATGTCTAGAGTGCTATCAAAGTGTTATAAACGCGCTGCTACGTATCGGGAAATCGTCGGAATCAATAAAGCAAGAATACGAAAGCGAGAATCGAAAAACACAGACACACGATTTACGTGGTTCACTAACACGATTTGTGTTAGCTAGTCCACGAGCGAGAGAGAGTCAGTTTCCCTATATCGAGAAGATTACAGATTACGGAGGAGTATGAGAAGTATTTATAGTACTTCTCCATGTGGGTCTAAACCTAATCAAATTTGGCAAAGAAAACGATTACAAACCAGGCCCAGAACCCGAACCCAAATAACATTGAGCCCATACACCGCGGGACCCCCGACTACCAGTCATAGCGGCTGATAGTTCGATTCAAGTCACATCAACACAAAGGAATTGTGTGATCTCTTTTTGCTTGCTTGATAGTCCCTCGTTAGAGGAGAAGCTTTGGGATTCAGTTTTATTTCGTGTGCCCACCCTGTTTCTTCGCTCGATCTTCTTCTTCACACGAGGAGGAAATATATGTTAAAGAAACAAAGCTTGGGAGAGAGAATGGCCGCTCAGCAAGAGACTAGCCGTCTTTCTTTCGTCTTCTCAGAAGAGAAATTCGATGCCTGGCTGCCGGTTTGTTCTCTCGAGTGATCACGTGGATGATTATGTTGCATGTTGATTACGTTCTCTACTTTATAGTTGTGTTGTACATGTTGCCATTATTGGATCACTCTTTTTTCTTTTCAATGTTCAGTTTCTGACTTCCTATATATATATGCTTGTACTCAAAGTTAAGAATGTGTTTACACCTAAAAAATAATTTGATATCACATTGAATATTCACAAGACATTGAGTAGGATAGTTATCGATCGGGCGGGGTTTGGTGTCGAACTTAACTCAAACGCGCTTACTAACGGGTTGGTTATTCTGAGCAATCGAACCCACCTACATTCTTTCTTTGATTGGATATATGATGGGTGACCGACAGCCCAATTCGCCGATGGCACCGATTGACTACAATTTATGATAAGTTACACATAAATTAGGAAGATTATAGCAATCTTAGGCACTTTCCGTCTTGTATCCAATGGATTCGACCAGTACTTGTGATGTGCAAAGTTTTCATTATTCATATAAACGTTCATCTGAAAACTCTGGATAAAATATTATTATCTAACAGAGAAAACAAAGTCTCTAACCACATATTCATATGGATCAAGCTCTTCACACATGTGGCCTGCATTCTCAGAGATGAAATCTTTTCATCACTAGTCCATCAACTAGTTGTAAAGAAACTTGGCATTTATTCCACGTCGACATAGTTTTTATTTGTAATTTACATCTAGAAAACAACAGTAGTATAGTAGTCCGAAAAAACTCTTTGCTTTCTCGCTTTAAAAGTCGATTGTCGATGCGCGACGTGAATAAGAAATATGAGGACCCTTCGATTAGATGAAAAAGAAATGTCTATTTACCATGTGAAAGTCACGTACATGTCCTTTGCGTGACCCACAACCCATCCACCACTTATTCGAATAAGGTGCATGTAGGATATTTATGGACCCGACCCACAACCCATCAATCACCTATCTATAACAATGTGTGTTTCTTTTTTTTTTTTTTTTTTTTGCATATAAATCGGTCTCAAACTACATTTTGACCAAGCACTTGACCAACCTTGTCGATAAATGTCTTTATAAGGTCAACTCAACGTTGTTCATCACCGCTCCATAATAGACATTGAATTTGGACAAAAAAATATGCATATTAAAATTTCATCAGATATGGAATTGTGGAGTTGTGAACCTTTCTTGTTGGATATTCCTTTTCGGACACTCATCCATTAGTCCGAGGTATTTAGCGTAAACCATTAAAAAGAGAACTAACATGACACAACCAATTAATAAAAACAGATTCACACTTGTGATGTTAACCCTAAGCTATCAAGCTTAAGATTTCCAAGTGGATTGTTAACTGAATTAACGCTATAAACTAAACTCCAAATATAGAATCCCGATTAATATGATATTTAATTAACATGTATAATTATTGTGGAAAGGGTCGGTTCGATCATCTTAAACCATACTCTTCTAACTAACAAGCTATTAGCTTAATAGATTATAATCAGAAGGCGAGTTTCATGCCTGCTCTTCATATAAAACGACACAGATACCTAGATACAAGAAGAAAAGAGCAAATTGTATAAGAAACTCTTCTGCGAAGCCATAAATCGGAACGAAGGGACTAACTTAAATTGTCGTAACTAAGAGAGCTAAAGTCTAATAAAATATTTTAATTTCTAAATTTGTTCAAAATTTACATGTAATATTGCCTATTTCTCAAAGTTGGAGGGTGAGCTACATCCCATACTAATTTCAACTAACTCCACCACCAATAGTAACTTATAATAGCAATGTTTAATTGATGTAAAAAGGATTTGTATAATCTTTAAACCTAACGAGCTTTAACTTGAAGGTACCTCTTCGTACTTTGAATGAGTTTATATGATCTAGCTTTGAATCTCGTCCAACAACTAGAACTAATGCAACCAACTTTCAAGAGACCAACGTGATGGTAGTAATTAATTTTCTCTCGACTGAATCCTATAGAGAGAAAGAGAGAGGCTTCCTTCACACACTTTTATTATGTGGTTAGCTACTCATCTTTCTCACACCATATACGAAAATACTCGATAATTTTTCGCGTATTGACCACTTAGTCGATTGGTAACCAAGTGTGGTATTATACAATATGTAGATTTGGAAAGACAAAAAGATGACGCCTGCGTTGCTCCCTTGTCCGACGACCAAAACAACACACCGCCACCCCAACGACAGACCAAGTCGGTCGGTCGTCGTTGATCGTCGACGATGATCCAAGAGAGATATAGAGATAAAAAAGAAAATATTTCATTTGTGTGCCCCCCATGTTTGCTACACGTGCAACTGTGGCTTATACATGCCTATAGATATATTGGGGGGCTTTAATCTTATAGGATTGGGCATATTTGGGGTTTTTTTTTTTAATTACCCTGTATTTTCAGAAATGAAGGGAAAATAGAAGGGATTTATTTATAATTATGAACCGGAATAATAGACACGCAATGCAAAAATACCAAGATAGAAAAGAAAGTAAGGAACATATAGACAATGTAGTTGTAATCGCGTTTTAAAATCTAAAATTATAACGTTTTTACACTTTCGGATCACCAAAGCGCTTCTACGACGTAGAGTCACACTTTTTCCTATACAATTTTAGTCAAAACCTAGGCTTTGAAGTTTAAAATCTTATGTTTTTCACGTTGTTAGGTCACCAAGACGTACGCTCATAAAATCACAATCTTGATTGCACTGCACACAAATTTATTTGGTTCACTAACATAATGTGTGTTACTAGCTAATTCACGAAAGAGAGAATCAGTTTCAATATATTTGAGGAGATTACATATTAGAGATTATAAAGAAGTATGAGAAGTACATAACTCCGCGCCATCGAACCTCTCGAACCTTTGCAAACTTAACTTAGAAATGTTTGAATCTGAAACTAGTTATACGATTGAGATATATAACTTCCTGTGTAGTGTATTTAATCAATGTATGTATTATAATTAGATGCATTGTTTCAATGTATGAATTTGAAAAATACATTGTTTGGAGATTGAATGATTTTGGTGGTCCCTCAAAGAATAAGGAACAAAAATTAAGACAACAATCCCTCAAACACAATCTCTGCCAAAAGTTGAGATTGACAATCATTCATAATGAATGATTCTGGTGGGCCCATCTGCTGTTCAAATACAAGCATTCTGTTTCATTTTAAGCCAAAAAAACGATGAATTCTTCTGATTACATGTATTGGCTAAATACATCATCTGAAATCCCAACTTCCAAACGAGCCCTTTTAGAGATTTGTGGGTTAATTTTTCCAAGTCATGTTGACTTTGCGGTCTTTGGCGTGCTCAAGCGAAGGATTGGTGCATGTCGGCAGGTACACTACAAAAAAAAACAGCTGAAGTGACAATTTAAAATTCAGTCAAATTGTCATTAAAAGGTAGAAAAATGTCACAATAGTGTTGTACTGACGTTTTACATAAATGTCACATAAATGTCACATAATCTAGTGTCACTAACTTCTTTTGTGACATTTGTTACAATTGTCAGTACCACTTTTGTGTGACGTTTATTTTACATATTGCGACACTTATAATCGTAGCATAATAACATCTTTTGTGACATTTTAAAGCGTCGTAAGTGATGCAAATAGTGACATTTCTAGAGACATATCAAACTGTTATAGTTAATACCAATAGTGACATGTCTTGTGACATTTCAATATGTCATAGCCCATCTCAATAGTGACATTTATAAGGACATGTTAATATGACACGATTGATACAAATAGTGACATTTCTCGAGACATTCATAATTGTCACAGTAGATCCCAATAGTGACATTTCTAAGGACATATCAAAGTGTCATAGTAAATACATATTGTGACATTTCTGAGGACATTCCAAAGTGTCATGGTTGACACCAATGGTAACATTTACCGCGACATTTCCATATGTTATAGCCCATCTCAATAGTGACATTTTTAAGGACATGTTAATATGTCACGATTGATAGAAATAGTGACATTTCTCGAGACATTCCTAATCATCAAAGTTGATACAATTAGTGACACTTTTTGTGAGATTCCAATATGTCATAGTTGATCCCAATAGTGACATTTCTAATGGCATGTCAATGTGTCATCGTAAATACAAATAGTGACATTTCTCAAGACATTTCAATGTGACATAGTAAATACAAATAGTGACATTTTTCAGAACATTCCAAAGTGTCATAGCTGATACCAATAGTGACATTTACTGTGACATGTCAAACGTGTCGTGGTTGAAACAAATAGTGACATTTTTTACAACATCATATGTGATATGACACTACAACAAAACAGTACATTAGCGACGAAAACTCCCACTTGCAACTCCTCTTAGCTCCAACTTTCCTTCATTAACTGGCAACCATGCACACACAGCCCATTCGAACCACTTAATTACCTGAGTACCACAAAGAAATGGGTATTAATTACTCAGAACATCGCACATAGAAGAGAGAATTTAGGTACAGTGAAAACTATGGCTAAATACATACATACATACATAGACTTCAATCAGCAAATGTAAATAGAATTGAAATGTCATATCCTGTTTCATGTAACAGTATTTCACCAATGAAACTAAACATCTGTTTAAAAAGTGGAAGTTGTCCATCAAATTCTCGTGTTCAATCACTTATGCAAAACAAAGCACGATTCTCTTGATCCCCAATCAAACAGCTATGGAATTTTAAGGTAATTGCTAACAGATCGACAAAGAAACGTACCACCTGAAGCCTACTCGAACAAAATGCAAACTGAAAAAGGCAGAGAAATGAGCACTTACAACAAAAAGCAAAGGGTCGCATGTTGCTTCACATTGTTCGTAAGCTAAGCTTCTCATGGATTTCTAGTAACAGATAGCCCTTACAAATGCTCAGGACAAAGCTCAAAAGCTCTGTGTACACAGATCTATACCTGCTTAAGAGTTGTTGCTGATCGTGCCTTCAAATTTAGAAAGATTTCCCTGTAAAGCCAAAGGTATGGAGCAAAACCAACTCAATTTCAGACGTGATTTTTACTTGAGAACATCTCCCAGTTACTAAGTTTTTCATCGAAATTACAGTGAACTCCATTGAACAATGTTAACCAGGTGCAAATCAAGAAGTTAGAAGTGAAAGGAGCCATACCAGACGTGTTGGTCTGAAAGCACATGCACAGGTGAACACACATTAAACTGTCAGATTGATACAATGCATCTGGAAAATTTGATTTGCACTGCACACCGGCTCTTACCTTCCAGGAAGCATATTGAACAGAAGGTAAATCCTTCCTGGCTTTACCCTTCGAACGTCATGGTTTTCCTGCAAATAATGCTAACTGTTGTAAATAATCAAAGCTTTGATGACCTTAAACTGGAAGAAATATACTTTTATAAGACATTTAAGAACTACCATTGAGGGAAAAGTGAATGGAAGTACCTTATCACAACTGCCTTATCAGTAGCCTTCTCACCGATCACGAAATGAATCCCTCACCGTTGCTGATAAGAAGAGTTGATAAGCAAGTCAGAAGAAGAAATGTTATCTTTTCCCTGGGGAACAAAGTAATGGTACTTCCATTAAGAAAAAGCTTGGAGACATTTGAACACAACAAGATTAATTATTTGAACCATAGAAGAATATCAGTCAAATTCGACATTCTTGGCGGTTCAGAGCTGTCTCCTGATAGGTCCAATCCTGTATGTATTAGTCTTCACTTTCAACTCATAGATATATAAATAGATTATAAGAAATATCAGATCATGATACCTGGAGGAGATTTATCAATGTCTCCATGGTAGCAGTTGTGTCAGGTCCAATTTCATAGTAACTGATAATGAAACTCTGCCTGTAAACCAGCCTGTCCTCCACGAATCTTCCCATCAAGCAATTAGGGGACTGTGATCCACTTTGTAATTATCAGACGGAGCTCCTCCCTCCACTCTGGGGCTCCCATTCACCTTCTTCCCATTAACCTTCTTCAAGTCCAAGCTCTGTGGATTGTTTCTGGAATTTGCTCTAATGGACAGCCTTTTGCTGCTATTTTGTGCAACTTAGAATTAGAAAACTGCATAACCAAAACAGTATGCTTGCTATCCTATTCTTTTTTGTTCTTTTTTTTTTTTTTTTTTGCAGCCTAAGCATGTCATCTTAATGAACATTTTCTGCAGCTTACATGGTAGAATAAGCTTGTTATAATGTCAATGAATGCAAAGGAAAGTTTAAAGAGGGAAGACAAATACCTATCAGCCTTCCTTTGGCAGATTAGCTCGCCTTCAGTGGGAACAGACTACCAAAAGATAATGTTTCAAACAAATAATTTCCTCTTCTAATAGATTATGCTATTTCAAGTAACACACCCAACAAAACATTAACACATGATGGTAACACCATGACATGACTACAACATGAAATTTTAGAAGATGGCAGCTTTTATGCTTTGCTACAAAATCTCATGTGGACTTCTTCTTTCCCCAATCACCAATACAGCAAACAACTGAGCTAGGGACTGCCATAATAAATTTACAAAAATCAACTGATGCTAAAAGTTCATATGTTTAGGTTTCTTCTACTGTTTGAGTTACAGATGTTTGGTTGAATTGGAAATGAAGTGGATGATGCAGGGCAGAAAATGACTTACAACTGAATTATATTGAGTATCTAGAACATCTGTTTGAGTTACAGATGTTATTTGTAGAGTCTCTTACTTTGGCTTCTAGAACATCAACTGCAAATCTGAAACAAGGGCAAAGGATGTTCGGTTTAGTAAAGAAAACATTGTGCAAGTGTTATCATGAGCCCAAACAGGGGAGCTTAGATGCTCACCTTGGACATGCACTTCTTGACTGATATAACCTGTTAGAAGCCAAGCAAGATTAGTTTATGAAATTCCTGTCAGATAACTTGCAAATCATAAACTTGCAACTCTCCATAAATTTCCAGCATGTATCCACTCAACATGCATCAGTCAGGCACACAAAAAAAACTACGATTTCACCCACCCGTTATTGTAATTAGACATAATTAGACATGAGATCAAAGGAAGGAAACTGCATCGGAGATTAAAACAAAGGAAGGAAACAACAGTGGAGAATCAATTGAGAATTGAGAATCTAGGGTTTGATAGAAATCCTAATTGAGAGAATCAACTCAATCAAACGCCTCCAGAAATCTTACCTCGATTCAGACTTAGAAGATCGCGGTTTTAGCTCAGATCTTCATGATTGAGAGTCATGACGATAAGCAAAAGTAATTCTGATATAATTGTATACGAACATGCACTATAGTTACGAGGAGGCACAGGAAGAACTGTTTTCCAGAAATTGCAGTAGTAACTCCGCAACATGTTCTTACCACCATTCCCGCGACAAGATGAACCACAGGGACAAAAAGCTGGTCCACCTTATTCCCATCTGAATAGCCATTAAAGGCAATCACCATCGAGAACGTGTGAATTGTAGCAAACGCGAGAGCAATAATTGCTGCAAGATTGCAAAGCAAGAGTTTGATGATATTATACATAACCAGTTTCAGACTCTCATAATCCAAGTTGATGCTAGGTAACATTGTATGACTCAATAGACACACAAACAGGATAGGTTGCATCGAGGAAAGCACAGAGTTACACAAACAGGATAGGTTGCATCGAGGAAAACATAGAGTTTCACTTACACGAAACAAGGAAAAATGGTAGCTTCGGACATTGATCAGTGAAGAATGTCGCTGGACCAAATGCTGGAGTTAAAACACTCAGACAGAAGAAGACAGCATGAGCTGCACCATGACCTAAACCGCCAGCTGCACCATTCATATCAGCTACCTAAAGTTAGCTAACACAAGGGAAAATCAGCATTCTGAAATGCATATTACTACTACTAATGAACAGAAGAAGGAACCCAAAAAGTTGTAAAGCTGCTTGAAGCATACCCAGAGCAATTAGCATCTTATCAGTAGGGTACAACCGTGGCTTCAATACCCTGTCTGCAAACGCATCCAACATATCTTCCAATCGCCTGCAATCAATTCACCCACCAAGAAACCCAAAGTGAGCTCCTTTTTCCATCTGGATTCAAATTTGTGCTTTGGAAGTAAAACCCATTCCGCCAAAAAGATCAAAGGGGGGAGTGTTGAAAAACTTACTTGTAAACTTTCCAGAAAAGCAGCCGGAGGCCTTCTTGAAACGCGACGGAGGTGATAATAAGCACGGCGAACGGCCAGGAAGCGGCGGAGTTGAGAGGGAGAAATGGGCGCCAGAATCCAGACAGCACGATTAGGCTTACCAGCCATAGCAGAGTACTGCACACAAATACACCAAGAACCCCAAAATTAGAACACACGAAACAAAATCGAACCCTAGAAATTGAATTGGGAGGAGGACCTTGAGAGGACGGTGAGGATCAGAAATGGCTTTTTGGAGATGACAGTGACGAAGAGAGCGAGGGAAGGTCCTAATGCCAGCAAGGCATACCCGATCCCCGCTGCCACCGTTATGATTGCCGACTCCGGCGAAGGGGAAGAAGATAAGTGTGAGAAATCAACCTTCTTCTTCATATACGAGCTGTACAGTTTGAACGGCTGCACGACCCTTCGTCGTCATTGACACAAAATCTGGTCAAATCTAGCATTTTCAATCGACGAAGAAGATAAGGCACTGAGACCTTGAGACAGAGAGGCCATTGGAGGAAATCTCAACGAGCTCTGAGCCTTTATCGCGTACTTTCTCTCTCTCCAGACTTTTCTCCTCTTTCTTTCAAAAATACTAGGAAGCGCGGGAGCCTCGTTTTGCCACACTTTGCGGTGTTGGGCTTCCTCTGCTTACAGGCCCATAAAGCAACTAAAACCTAAATTGAATGCTTAATTAAAATTGAAAAATCAAATCATCGAACAAAATTATACTTTCCCTTTGCTTTTTTTTAGGTTGGATCAATAATTCCTTTCTCGTCAATCCTTACCCCATCGACTGAATGGCCTCAGTATTTCCTTCGTCGCCGCTAATTCTCTCCCTGTACTCCGTTTTCCATTTTTACGATTTAGATTCCAAAATCCTTTCCCCGGTCAATTTTTCCAAGCCTTCCTCGGATCTTAACCCTCTGTTCACTGCGTTTTCAGTTTCCATTCCCTAAACTCTTCTTGTTCTCCGTCAATTTACCCAACTCTTTCTCATATCTGGACACTTCGTTCTGATTATGAGTCTATTGATGTTAGTCTTTTGTTCCCCTTGATTCCGCCGATCGAATTCTTAGCTTCCCTCGCCGGTTACTTTGTTAGTCGATTTCCTCATCCCTCTGTTGCGTGCCTGATTCAGTATGGATTTTTAAAAAAAAATATGCATGGGATTTCTTCTACCTGGCTGAGATGCCGCTAAGACTCTATTTAAATCTTCTCATTTTCGTTGCAAGCAAAATATCACATTCCCTCGATTTCATGTAATCGGCGGCAGAGAAGAAGGCCTCTTTCTATACCTCCATTCCCTACAGAGTACAGATTCTCTTTCTACTCTCTTAGCTATTCTTCATCGGAGATTGATCATCAACAGTCTCAAATTTCGGATCCGGAAATCGTATTCCCAACCATTCTCAATTAAGCCCAGTCCATTAAAACACGAAGCCCGTGAGCTGAAACCCAAACGGAAGAAAGAGAGTGTTGCCCACGCGCGCTCACGGGAAAAATTAGGAATGTTCACACTAATTAATTGCTCTTGGACAACAGTAACCCTGTTTTTGCTTTATATATATTATAAACTAATTTTAAAATCGATGGAGGATGGACAAACAATAACAAATGCATGCTTTCTCTTTCCTATTTTAGTTGTCAAAAGTAAATGAAAAAAGAAAATTGAAATTAAACTTGGTCACTCACTTCACTTACGGCAGGCTATAAACAGAACCAATTTTAATAAATAAAATCCCGACGGCCGCATCTTTCCGTCAATTTGTCCGTGGAAATTATCAGATAACCACGGTTGTTGCCTTGTTGGCGGGTGTCGCTAGATGACCATGGTTAATATTGGATTTTCTTGTAGTGTGAATAGTGACATTTAATGGGACATTCCATAATTCTGTAGGTGATACAAATAGTGATATTTGTATGGATATTAAAAAGTGTCATATATGATACAAATAATGATATTTGTTGAGACATTCCAAAATGTCATAGATAGTACAATTAGTAACACTAGTGCGACATTTTAAAGTGTAACAACACCAAATTAGATTACCATTATAGTTTTTAATTTAAATTTTTACTCAATGATGGATGGTTCAAATTTGGCTTCATTTGTTGGCCAACATGAAATCGGACGAACTTAACCGAGAGGAACGGGCCAGGCCCAGTTCGAGTGGAGTTGGTGGTGGTTGTGGGCCAAATGCCCAGAGAATTACCACAAGTGGGCCTCAACCCAGAGAATGCCCTAATGGACTGACCGGTTTAAAAGAATGGATTGGGCTTTCCAACTAGTTACCAAAGCAAAATGACGTTGCAAATGATGTTAACAATTTTAGCAACTTTTTGGTCATCATAATAAGTTGGAAACTAAAAGATGATATCAAAATGTATACTAAAACAATTATTTTATGTAATATTTTAGATTGGTGAGAAAAAAAAACTAAGGATATTTTCAAGTTATTTTTAATGGTAAATAAAAATTCGTTATAAGACATTCTTATTCCATTAATATTTAAATCAAGAAAAAGATTTATAATATATTAAAAAAATAAGCGCATAAAAATATAAAACAATGTCATTAATACAAAATAACATAAACAACTAAAAGCATCCAATAAAAAACATTAGTCCATACAACCCCAAATCATAGACCTTGAGTCCAGGTTTAATTGTTCACACAAAAATGTGTGATTTCAAAATGTCTTACTAATTAAAATATTGTCTTCCACATTCTTAAAGTACTCAAAAGTAATAAATCACAAATCAACTCATCAATTTCCTTGCATGTATTTCCATAACGATCATCAAGTCGAACAGTTTCCTTAACTTCCTTGGTTTCCTCGTGGAGATGTAGCTGCATCACCTACATTAGAAGTAAGATATATTAATATCAATTAAGATTCAATAATATTAACTTCAAATGCAAAACAAGCTTCTAGCTAGTATTTTAAAATACATACCAGTAGAAGTAGTACCATCACCTTGACCATCATCATTGACGCTGTTGAAAGCCTCCATAAAACTTTCAAGGTTGGGAATCTATAAAAAAAAAATTAAGTTAAAAACAATTCCTACAACTTTCATTTTAAATATTAAAGCTTGCATGAATGTACATGTGAACCACATCTTGGAGAGCCCTTGCATTTTAATATGAATGTTTGCATGATGCATGTGCACACATGAACCATGTTCCCTCAACCTATATAATACTTAAGTTGAATTTGTGGATTTGTAATATTATAACAATAATAACATACCTCTTGGAGAATTGCGGCTGGACCTGCCAACTGAAGAAGTTTGGCAATAATTCCTCCCATTGTCTTCACAACGTTATTGAGCTTAGCCACCTCAGTTTTGAGTCCCTCCTCAGTTTGAGCATTTTCTTGCAGCACTCTATAATTTTCTTGAGAAAAAGTTCCTGGAGTGACACCAAATCCCATACCTCGTACACTGCCATTACGTTCCTTTCCCAACACCTTTCCCAAAGGATCATTCATCAAATCCACAATCTCCATTTCCTCTCCATCAACTTCAGCATCTTCGTCAAAAATACCTTCACCAAGTTCTTCAAGTTGCTTCTACAAAAAATGAAGCACCATAAAGCCTCTTGTTAAACATAATTATAAATATGGAATGAAGTGAAGCAACCATCCGTAAATGCAAATTAATTTAATGAAATGGAGAACTCAACTAGAATAGCTTCAGCCTCAGGAGTGACAGCACTTCCGTCTTTGCGTTTGTGATATCTCAGAAACAATCCTATTCTAGAAAGTAGCTTTCCTGTTTCTCTAAGCTGATTCATAAATGAAAAAAGTATTCATAATGTATCATAATGTAACATAAACATTATTTGTTTTCATGCAAAGAATTGCACCTCTATCTCTTTACGTCGAGCATAAGATATAGTGCCAGATGTATGAGTTAGCTTGTTTTGCTCCCTGCTCTTCTTGTTACGAGAAGACTTTGCCTGAAAAAAAATAAGCAATAGGTATGAGTATAATCGGTATAAAAAACAGTTCACACTTAGTGGTCTAACCGATATTAGCATGTTAATGAACTGATAACTAATAAGCAACAATATCATAAATAGATACATATAATAATCCATATATTATTCTAAGTCCAGTTATGTTTTATTAAAAAGAAAATCGAAGTAATAGAAGCTTTTTATTAAAACCCTCATTTAAGCATTAATTAAATGCAATGAACTTGATAAAAGGTTGGCAAATGGTAAAAGAAAATATTTTTCAATTGATTTCAAAAGAAGGAAAAATACAAAGCTAACTTTTTCTCGCGGGATAATTACAATTATGGAATTTGAAGATATTGACACGATACCTAGGCCTATTACTATTATTTTTCATAAATAAATCCAATATCCACTTACATCCGGAAAATGTAAATGGCCCTGTATAAATTAATGGGGAAGTTTGAAAGTTTAATGGAAATCGTGATAAAGAATTGGACAGAAATACTGGCGGATGAAGTGGGAACGAAAAGTATTTAATTCCCCCTAGTACCGGCTCGATGATGAGCAAACAATCGTGCATACATTTATCTCTATTTGGTAAAAGAAGAGTGAAAACATATTACCTGCCACTCAGCAGAGAACCACATATCAACAAGTTTTTCCCAATTTTCTTTATCGGTTCTTGGATCAACATTAGCTTTCAGTTCCGCATAAGATTTACTTTGGGAAAAGTTCTCTTCGTAGAGGGTCCTTTTGAATTGTCTCACGGCGATCCCTACTTTGCTGATAACCCATTTTCTTCTTATGGGAGCCAAATTAAACTTTCCCTGCAAACATTATCATAAAGGATCCATCAATATATTGTATTTGAAATTAAAATATAGCTTATATGATTGAAAACATACTCAAATTCACCTTCACTATTCTCCAAATCTCATCATGTACAGAACGAGGAGCCTTTCTCCAATCTTTCAATGTCAAAGGAGTCAATTGGGGCATCTTAGCGATGGTGCCACAAAACCGTGAAAGAGTTCCATCATCAGTACATTGACCATACTTATTGAAAGTTGGAGTTATCTTTTTTTCCGGGGGCATATTCCAAATATGAAGAAGTCTGGTAGGGCCCCGAGTCCTTTGAGTAGCCCCTACACCTCAGGGGGAAAAACAAAAAATAATTAGTCATATATGATCATTGTTTTACTGTATGCATGCATGGAGTTGTGGATAATTTTTTTCAAAAATAATCATCCTTGTCTTTGCCATTAACATGTTACAAACTTGAGATATGCAATTAGCCATTTTTGTAGGCAAACTCAATCATGTGTAGAAAAGAAACTAAACAAATTAATTTTAGTAGCTGATGATTACATTGCACATTGGTGTATGGGTAATCACAGATATATAATAAAAACTATACCTTCAAAATCTTCATCGTCATCAGCATGCAGTTCAGCTGTCATATTGGGTTGTGGTCGTGGTGGACGGTTGGAGGATGAGTTTCCCCTGTTGTTATCCTCTGGTGTTGTTCTAAGTCTCTTCGAAGGTGCCATATGGAGGTTTGAGAATGCTAGCTAGCTTTTGCGAATGTATGTAAGGGGTGTTTTGCTGAAAGAAGCTAGAGTGATATGAAGTTGGATAGATGATGTAGGGAAGGAGATATAAGGATGGGTCTTTGAATTGTTTTAGCAGAGGAGAGGAGGGAAAATATTGGCGGGAGTTAGAAAATTTGGGTTTGAAACAATCAGAGCATGCAGCAACCAGAGGCGCTGGTCAGCAAGCCAAACATGCAGAGAGGTACCCCTGTTCCGTTCTTTTCCATGGTAAACACTAAACAATCAGAGCATGCAGCAACCAGAGTCGCTGGTCAGCAAGCCAAACATGCAGAGAGGTACAATTTATTGCCCCTGTTCGGTTCTTTTCCTTGGTAAAAGCTAAAGCACAGAGGGATTAATTAGTTTAGTTTGGGTCGGTCTTTGGGTCTGTAAAAGGAAGACTTGTACATGCTGACTTACAGATTAATTAGTTGGTCAAGATTCGGATTCCCAAGGCCCCTTTGAAGATAATTGCTACTTCCCGCGCCGACCGCTCACCGGAGTAATTGCTACTTCCCGTCACCGCTCTGCTGCATGCACCAGAGCTAGCAACCAGGGCAGGGTCATCTCATCTCCTATATTATTCTCTTTTTTTTTTTTTTTTTCTAGTTATTAATTACCACAAGGGCGCTTGTATTATATACATCTATATACCTCAGCCGGGCAACGATAAGATGACGACAAAAGTTAGTTCGTCATATGCACACATCCGTAGGAAAGTAACCCTAAACAAGGAAATCCACATATATAGAAGAGGCAAGATATATGAGTGGTTGGGTAGATGTGTATCTAAAACACATATTTAATGAATGCATATGTTATAGAGAATATATCGTATTTTTGTTGCAAAATAAAACACAATGCATGTATTTGATTGTTAATTTAATTAATAAATAACTAAATGTCTTAATTCTTTTAAATCTGTATTGTGGATACAATTTTCAAAATAGATTAACATAATTGGAATTAGTAAAATTTAACATCCATACCATACGAATGAAACTATTACAATCAAGGATAAAAATAATATTGTACCATACCAGCGGTTCGTCCAGAAAAACTTTCTACTGGAAGCAAAATCGGTATGTTGTATTTGGCGTATGAAACAGTTGAATTACGCAAAAACCATGATTTCAGCATAGAATACCCTATCGCTAATTTTTTTGCTACAACCTCTATTGTAGTTTTTCGATTATAATCATGGTCGCCTATTGGAATGATAATATGCGAGACATCACTTTTTAATAAAACAAGGGAGAGCGATATAAATAATGAAGTCAACATATTTAGAAGATGAAAACATACATTTAATCATAGCTAATTAGCTACCTCATTTCATATGGAGCCAAAGTATACCAAACATAACTAAATTGTCATCCTACCCTCCGCAAAGAGCAGACTGGTATTTATGAGATTTTTCGTTTAATTTTTTCATGGTTATCCTCTTCTATGTATAAGAGTATTTAACTAACTTTTTTATTTTTAAGGAAGCATTAAGTGAAGTAAATGAATGTTAAACCATTAAAAAAATGTAAGTACGTACTCGACTAAGACAAAGGATATTTGATTTGGTTGTATGATTGATTTGGCTTAATTTGCTTTTACGTATATTTTAAAGGGAATTCATGATATCAAATAATTTCTTTTCGAATTTAAATCGGCCTAATTAGGATTTGATTCACTCCAATTCAATGGTTAATTAATGTTTTACTCAATAAAGTAGAATTTAATTGGACATTTAACATTACCCGTCGGAAAACGTGCCAATTACACATTAAAACAGTACATTACAAACCATACTAAATAGGAGAAACCAAATCACCAATTAAGGTTCGGTTCCAGACCAACACATACATCATTAATTAAGGTCACAAAGACTCAACAAAAGCCAAGTAATTGTAGCAGCTGCCTGGAAGATTTATTGAGGCAGCCTCATGATCATGTTACTTCCCCTATTACCTCCAGTCGAAAAAAACAAAAGTAAAATAACAACTAGCACAGACATGACCACATAATTAATCACTTGCGACCTGTTGAATCCAGCTGGTCGTATTGCCCGAAATTCATCGAGTTCGCCCATCAACCTTATGCACTCTCGTTCCAACCTTTGATTGTTACCAACTAGAACCTCGTTCTTAGCGTCAACGTCTTTTGTCTTTTGAACAAGGTAGAGAAGCACCTCTTTGTAGTACGGGCCCAATGGCTCATCATGCCACTCCCAAAAATTGCATCCTCCGTTTTTTATATGCTTCCTACAACGAAAAAATCTTCTTCCAGGATTTGACCTTGTCCATGAACACAACATCAAAGCTTTCATGCCACACTCACAAAACCTGGAGTGACCACTGGTAAATAAATTCAAAGGGGATGATTGTTGGGAAGACGATGACATCAGTAACCTAGCCATCAAAACCACATTCACAATATCATCAATAATTCCTTTCAAAACAGTAATGTAAATGATTTTTATCATTTCACATATACTTCGAATTGCACGTGCAGCACTTGAAACAAAGAAATTCGATATCAAGAGCTTATAATAATGAGACCCAAATTTCAGATGACTTCCTTACAAACTAAGTTAATGGAGGAGGAATTAAGATAAACAACATATTCGTTTGGTTTTTGTTTGAATTGAAGCTTTGTTGTTACAGCATGCATGCATGCGATGCGGATGCGGTGTCTTAATTTGGATACCACTATATATCAGTCATCAGGGGCGAGGGACACTAAGAGCAGAG